TTCTTAACATTATCATTGTCTCGCCGTTTTTTTTTTAAAATTATTTATGATAATTATAATAATAACTTTTATTTGTAATCATATAGTGATGATTCTGGAAAATTATCAATGCTGCAAAATTTTAGTTTTCCACTACAACAAATTAAAGGTGGACACCAAACAAGCTTTACTGTCACGCCAATGGCCACTATCGATGGTGGTTATGCTTTAATCTATGCTAATTCTACCAATATAACTGGCAACAATTCATTCTTCATACGTGGCTCGGTGTACGCTAATTTCATAACATATAATAATACACTTCAAGATAGAACGATTCTTCTCTATACATTTACCAATAATGTAACTTTTAATGGAATTTATTGCGACATAGTATCTGTTGGTGTTGGTCAAGTTTGCACACTCTCTGTAAATAACACCATGACAAATAACGTCACAACACAATATATTAAAATTTACTTCTTAACGTCTGGATCAGTGTTAAGAGTAAATGTAATATCCGACCTCCCTAATGTCACTTCTATAGCTTCAATAAATTGGGTGGTGAACTCGATGTCATTCGGTGGCTACATATTACATAATTTTGATCTCAATGGTACTACATATATCTATGCTTATGACGAATTTAACTTTCAAGCGCCTTTGGTATCAACATTATCGTCAAACCAAACTGTTCCTATAAATAATTTTTCTACTACACGTTATACATTTGGCGCAAATCTTATCACGAACAATAATACTTTTCTACTCCCAACATTGAACACAAATGTAGACCAAACTTCTTGGTCTTTTATTAATATTCCACTGCCTAAAATTTTAGAATATCAAGGTATTTCTATTATTACATAAGATTCTGTTTTTTCTTATGTATTTATAAAATAATTAATATATATATTTAAAAAATGTTAATAACCTTTATCTATTTAGATCACGGTTTCGGTAATCTTCTGATAAACCAAGTTAACCCACCTATTAACAGTACTATCGATTCATCTATTACTACAAGCTTAAATATAGTTTTCTTTGATCCTGTTGTTTTGACTAGCGATCAGATACATGGACATTTAACCATTTACAAAACTTCTGATAACAGCATTCGACAAAAAGTTTCACCGTTAGACACAGATTTTTGTAGTACCGATCCAGATGGGAAAACTATTACTATAAGACTTATTAGTAGTACATTTAATGAGTATAATGAGAGTTATTATGTACAAATGGATAACAATTTTGTTAAGAATAGTATTTATAAAGAGCCTCTAAAAGGGATTGGTAATGGGATTTGGAATCTCTCTTCAGGTAATATTTGCTGTATCATCTAGTTTTATTTTTCAATACACTGTAGTGCTTACCTTTATTATTTTTTTTAAACAATCTAGATAATATGAACAATTTACTCAATTCTTCAGGTATAATCTTATATTCAAATCGTTTTATATGAACATACATCTTTAAAAAAAACTATTTCAACTACATTCTTATAGGTAGTACCATCATTGGTACAGTCGGCTTAACATATGATGCCATCCCAAAATTCACATCATTCTCCAGATCAGATCGCTCCAATTATTTTAGAAATTTGTTAAATGATATTGCTGATAAATTGCCAATTCGACGTGAACGTTTAGCCACTGATAAAAAATTTCAATATAATAATTACGGACAAATTATTTTTTCTATTGAAATAAACTTACCATCACCTGACTTAAATGAAAACACTGTTGATAGTGTAGCAGCGGATCTAAGCACTATGCTTCTAAATAATAAAGTCACAGCATTTCGTACTGGTATTACAGGTGATTTGGATGGAACTTATGGCTTTGTTATATTGAGTAAGTTTAATGATTATAATTTTTTTTTTCTATCTTATATATATATATATATATTAACACTTATGTTTTAGATAATTTTTGGGCCGACTACTTAACCGCAATTGTTATATCGGTTATAGTCCTTGTAATAATCATGTTTCTATACGTGTATTCATACAATGTCAGTGAGAATTTCGATCCCAGGACTATGGAAATAATTCATGTATACACAAGTTATTCAATAGTTGCCATCAATTTCTTTTTTACGACTTATTTTGTTTTCATCCATACTAAAGAAAAACCGTATCTTTATTTGCCAAGGTATTTTCTCATTTTAATTTGTATATTCTGATTATTTTCAAATTAATTTTTTTATTTACTTTTTTTATTTTTTTATTTTATTATCACCTTAAAGTGTAATTATATGGAGCATTCAAGTAGGCGTAAATGTAATTATGGCTGTCCTCATTTTTATCTACTTTGCTAGACCAACAAAAGAACAGGAAGAGAAAATGATCGAGAAAATTGCCGGTGATGCAAAGGAAAAAATTATCAATGAAACAGAAGAATATGTTAATAATTTTTTTGATGGCGCAGTGAAAGAAATATTGAATAAAAAAAATAAAGAAATTGAGGAAATTGATGAAGCTGCCGAAAAGTTTGTTGATACGAAGAAAATTGACTACAAACATTATAAAATGATCGAGAAAATTCGTGATGAAATAAAGAAGAAACTTATCGATAAAACAGATAAAATAATCAAGGAAGTTAGTGATAAAATAAAGGATGAAATTATCAACAATGCAAAGAAATTTGATGGTATTGTAGAGAAGCAAATTATCGATAAAACAGACTTAATGATTGAGGAATTCAGTCACATTCACTTAAATGAGGAAACGCTCGAGAAATTTGGTGATGACGCTAAGAAAATTATCGATAAATTTGATCCAAAAGATATAATAAAGAAAATTAAAGATGAAAGAAATAAAATTCTCAAAGAAGCAAATCAAGGAAAAGTAAAGAAAATTATCAATAAAATAGTTAGACGGATCAAAGACGTTATTGGTGAAATTTTTTCTTACTTTAAAAACGATGATTATGTTAATGTT